ATACTTTATCAATATCTAAAGATTGCACCGTTATTAAAGCAACGTAAATTTTTGCCATGAGAAGCGCATTAGTTTCATATTATTAATTATAGTTCATCGATCTTATTGTAGACAGAAAGCTCATTTCTTTCCACGAACGATCATCATTAGCCATCATCTGATCGTTGCATCTATCTTGATAGTTTAATATTTACAGAAGCCGGTAAAACTATTAGAGCTGTCCAAGGTCTTATGACAAAACAAGAACATTAAGAAAAAAAGAGAAGAAAAAAACTAGAACTATGTTTACGCTCAAGGAACGAGCATGAGAGCATCACAATAACAAAAAACCTGGCTTCTACAATGTTGCACTCTACCAGTTACTCGCTCTTTCTCTGAATTTAATTATGCAAAATGTCGTTTTCTGCGGGCAATTCCAGTTCCAGAATACTTCTCATCAATGCATATAATTAATTCTTCTTTAACGATTTTATACATTTAAACTTTTCCTTCTAGTAAATTTCCTTCTAGATTTTTAGTTCCCTGAAGCTATATCGCTCGCAAAACAAGAGGCATCGCGTGTTATTCGCTGTCTATATTATTAAATTAATTACTACACGACGCCTAAGATATTTTTTAAGTACATGTGGAAGTCTCGCGAGATTTTCATTAGAATAAAATGGCAATTTCGTTCCGGATACGGAGTCCTTTCACTGTTGCCTTTTTTTCGAAGCACTTTCGTATCGCGACACTAAATTGTTGCTCATTACCTGCCTGTCTAAAGTAAAGCAGCAATACGTCGCAATATTTTGACGTATCGCACGTTTGCGCTAACGAGAGATTAATCTCGTCGAAAAATAATAGCTCCGATTGTCATATACGCATTGTCGCACGTACTCTTGTTCGATATTCTGTTCTCAATCCTAATCAGACACACATGGGCATCCGCAGAATTTTTTCCAAGAGGAGCATAATTAATTTTTTTGTTTTTAATTTTTCTTTCTTAATTTTTTAAAATTTATTTTCTTTGTTTTATTTTCATTTTTTTAATTGAATATGCAAATAAATTTTAGTGTTTATTCAAAAGAGAGCAAATGCTTAATTTTTTTGCTGATTCTCCTGCGGATGCCCATGCAGACAAATTGATACAAAAAAAACATGTAGTAATTTTACGGACTCTGTATATCCAGTTTTCGTAGACAGTGAGATCGGCCAGATCATCGTAGTTTTTTTTCCAACGAGCAGAGTTTCCCTTTCAACTAATCTCGCTAAATGCCTACGTTGTTCTCACTTTGAAAAGAAGATGCGCATCGCTGAATTCTTATATATACGTTCGATTCAGCTATAATCACCTTCTCTCTCAGGTGTTGAAGAAGAGATGCACCGAGCGTTTTCTACCTTCTAATTACGATCGTTTTGCGAAGTCTCGCGAGATGGAATTCTTTCCAACGCCGAGAGCTGCCATTCGCCGTTTCACGCCTCGCGTTTTATATCCCGTTATCTCGGGAAATTACATGCGAAAATGTGTTCGTCGCGAGATGTGCGTACAAACGCGATTTATCATTCCTCGTTCAGGTCTCCGTTTCGCACCTATCTACCTAGAGTATCTAGTGTCTCGTTATTAAACTTTCACTCGAGCAGGCCGCTGAATGACATAACGGTCCACGCGTGCGAAATGTAATTAGCACACAATAATAGGTACGCATACTTATGTATTACACACGTAAATAGTACGGTCAGACTGTTTTCGTTGATAAATTATTATCAGCGGTCATTTAATTTTGCGCGTGAAAACTCTCGAATCGAGTCCAAAGTTTATTCCATAACAAGTTTAACACGGTAGCTTTAAGTGACACAGGAATAAATTACCGCTTTAACAGGAAGCGCATTGTCCTCGCTAAATAATACACGGCATTAACGACACGTCTTAGTGCTAACACTGGTTAAATTTTTTATTGCCTATTAAAACTTGTAAAACGAATGGCTATAAATTTAAGACAATCAATATATAATCATTCAATATGAAAAAATATTTTATAATTTTTGATTTAAAGTTATATAACTATAGGAAAATAGACTACGTAGATTTTGTCGTTCTGTAATATAGAAATTAATTTTTTTTAAATTGCAATATTAAATCTCAATTATTTAGATTTTAAATTTTAATTTTCTTTGAAAACGAGAAGTCGATTTATTTCATTCCGTGTTGTCAATCTTTGACGTTATAAAAAAAATATTAATTTTAATAAAAAATAAAAATTATGTTTAAAAAAATACAAGATAAAAAATATGAAAAATAATATAATAATTCATACCAAATATCAAATATACGGCAATTTAATAGCTAATAAAAATAAATAAATTTTCCTTTCTCCTCTTGATGTAAGCGCGAATTACATAAAAATAAAAAAAAATATACAATAGCATATATTCAACCAGTGTTCAGCAATTTAAGTAGCGTTAATTCGATAGATAATTTCGTATGGTCTTGCAACTCATTTGTGGAAAAGGCACGATATCTCGCGGCGCTTGCGCCTTCTCGGCGAGCAAACGCATGACGACGACGACGAAGATTACGCAACGAAGTCGTCGTAATATTTAAGCAACAACGAGAGTCTCGTGGTACTGGGTAATACCGCCCAACTTTTCCGCGACTCTCGACACGAAGAGGCGCCGAAGAAGAAGACGAAGGTGGAATCTTCCTAGAGCGAGGCGGCGGCTCCTCTCCCATTGTAAACGCGACATTCTTCGCTCTCGCTCTCGCCCGATTATGCAATCTATATGCAGGTTTTATCGAAACGAACGCGGGCTGTAAATTTCAGCCGCGAGTACCTGGTGTTTGTCAAGCCTGTTGTTATCGCCGCTCGCTCTGATAATATTCGTGCGCGCGCTTAATTCATTTCGTTCCGCTCGAAATGGACACGTATAGGTCGAACAAATCCGCTTTCTCATTTATATAAATGTGCCTCTGTTATCAACGAGGACGACATATATATATATATCGTCATGAATATTCATGTAATGTTGGAAAAATAAGTGACCGCGATGAGCAGTTACGTATGAACATCCCGTAATATATGTCATATAATCGCAAGGTCAATTAAATTGTATTCGAAGAATCGAGATTAATCGAGATTGAATCATATTTTTCCTTTTCGATTTGTATCGACATTAATTGCCTTTAAATTTTCTATAAATTTCATTGTGTGTTTGTGCGTGTTTTTTTCTTTCTTATCTATTTTATTACACGGATGCATAAGAAACGAGTCTAATGATACGAAACTTATTCGCAGAACGTTATCCGAAGACACGTTCTCCCACGGGATGTGTGGCAATCAGTGACCGTGGCGGTTGTTAACCGGAAGCTACAATGAAAGGGAATAAAGAAACTTGGAGTGCACATGAAGAAAAGCATAAATCGCGCGGTAAAGAGTGTGCATAATTTTTCTGAAGATTTAGTCTTTTTATAAATTCGCAAAATCTCATATATTTCGGGGGAAATTTCTCGAATGCTCATAAAATCAATAATTGCGAGCAATTACGCGTTTCTCTCTTAGATTATAAATTATTAAATAAATTGATAATTAAGTGATGTTTCGTGGGAATCACAAAAACATTAGAATTGTCATCTTATTATCTTGAGATAACTGCCTCGTTAAGTTGGAACAATTACGTCATTACAGCCACGAATTTAATTGGTCCCATTAGTCACTAACATTATGCTATACATTTATTGAGAATGTTTCTCATCGAAAAATGCATAAGTGCAATGAAAATGAAACAATTATCATCAAACTGAATGTCCTTTTCAAAAACAAATCAAACCGCGAAAGAGTACTTCTTCGATCTAATTAAAGTACTAAAAATAATGAAATTTGATGCCAAGTGTCATCTCATAGCGACACAGAACAATGACTATCCTATCAACCTATTAATCAGCGCAATTATTCATTTTAATTTAGCAGGAGATTTAATTCTTATGACATGACGTTGTCTCCGTTTGATCTTAGTACTTGAAATTAACCGCGTTAAGTACCGAGTCGAATTTGAGCAAATCTAAATGTTACAAATATATATATATATATTCGCGCACGTTCAATCTTTGCCTCGGATGTTGCAACGCGCGTAAAAGAAAAAAATAGCGACACTCGCGTCCTGAATTCGATAACGGAGATTATACCGAGAAGAGACTCGTCTGTGTACTTTCTCCCCACACGTTGCTCGTCCTTGGACCGTGCAACGGACGACTGACTCACTCTACGTATGCCCGTTGCACGCGAGGAACGTCCGTCCTTGCGAGTCCTTAGAGCCTCAAGACTGAAGGAGACTCTCTCTAGGCGGATACAGTCGAAATTGACATCTCTCTTTCTGCGCGGCCGACTCACGCGAATTTTCTACGCTTCGCGCAACATTGCCGAGGGAATTCCAATTTTCCTCCGTGTCGACATCAACTTATCGTCCTGACGCCACCATGTCAATCCCCAGCCTTTAATGCAAAAGCTATAATAATTCGCGATAAAGACAAAGAATGGAAATTGACGTTTCACGAAATAGACACAAATAATATATTTAATATATTTATATAATATATATATATATTTATATATTAATTATGATATATTAAATATATTGAAAATGCTTGAAAAGATTCGTTAAATAATCGAATATTCGAGCTTTTAATTCATTAATTTACTATGATTTATACTGCAAACGCTTTTGCTCTAGACTGTGAATTTCCAAAGTTGTCCAAATAAGTTATACTTTTTATATTCGTAATTGGGAATTCCGGCAAAAGAATTAGCATGATCGGCGTGACGTTCGAGATGATTATTACATCAGAAGATAAATTCTCGTCAGAGAAAGTCGTGGGAAGAAGTGGCAAGCGGATCTCCCGAATTTAACGGACGAGACGATCTTTATAAGTGTATATGTGACGACACCATGGGTGTCGTGGGTAATCAAGTCGAGAGTGTGAGATTTAATTAGTCGCTAATTATATATCGGGGAATGTTGTAATTACATTTACGACAGGAACATTTTTAATAAAACTAAATTGTGTATTTTGAGGGAAAAATAACGATAGATTTTTAGGTCACTGTGTGTGTAGCTACAATATATATATATATAATTGTTATAAAAACAAACAATAATTTGAAACGTCAAAAATAGCTCTCTTTTAAACATTGATAAGACAAAATAATTGAAAATTTGTAACTTCCGACGCGGAAGCGACAGAGACTGCGCGTGTAAGTTTGCCTTCGTGTAAAACGAAAAATTGGCAATGTGTGCACTTACATCCGCACAAACAGCATTATCTTTCTTTATCCTAATACTCTCCGTTTTTTCGTCACTGAATACGAGTACATATACGTGTATCAATGTTACGATATCGACATTTGGCGCATTGGCGCCTAAACAACAGCGTATTTATTACAACGACAACAATTTGATCGGTTATAACATGGCGTGTTACATCGTAAATATGAAGGAAATCGTCGTCATTGTCGTCGAGAGCGGCGATGACGACGACGGCTCTAAATGAAAGGAATAAGGAAAAAGGAATTACCGGTGTGTATCGGAGAGAAGGATCTATAGTTTCTGCACGATGTCGAATTTGTCCTTGAAGCCGATCGACTCCTTCTTCGGGTCGTACTTCTTGCGCTTCGCCAGCTGCTCCCTGAGCTCCTTCACGCTCATCTTCAGGTTCAGACCCTCGGATCGGGGTTCGCTGTTGTTCGCACTGCTCTCCACACTGCCGTTACCCGTGCCGTGCACGTGGTTCACGTCGCCGTTGCCGTTTTCCCGCATGCTGCTGGACTCGTTGCCGCTGCTGCTGTTGCCGGTCGTCGTCTGCACCACGGTGCTGCTGTTGCTGTGCGCAGTGTCGTTGGAACCGATCGACTTCTGCGTGCTCTGAAACCAGAAAATCCATATGTACAAGATACAGAAATAAGCAACAAAATTAGCAGATTATTTCATATAATTGCAAGTGTCCCTGTTCTATATAGTACAGCCTGTTAGTAGTCATTATTTTTAATGTAATTAAAATTAAGTATAAGTAGATGTCATAATATATAAAAATTATATAATATATTATATAATATTTTATATAATATATGATATATTATATAATATTTTATATAATACATGATATATTATATAATATATATTATATAATATTAAATATAATACATAAATTAAATGCAGTCTCTTGATTTTAAAAAATATATATTTTCGTTCCCTTCATAATTGTGCATTATTAACGCAACTCTATTTAATGACCTTACGATAATAACGAGTATAATCATTGAGCATTGAAGTAGTATTTCGAGTTACGAAGGTAGAAGCAAAACGAGACGAGATATTTCTTCTGAGTCGAATGACATTGCGGTTTTTTTGACGTTTCGCTTGTGTTGGCGCGCAACCTTCTGCACAACGCGCGCGGACTGTCGATGAAAAATGCACGCTGCGTGTAATACAGTGCGTTTCACAAGCGCCTACTCGTACGTGCCTTCCAAATAAAATATGAATTTTTCGCTCGAGTATTTCGCGACGGACTCTTCGGTCGAGTATCACCACGACACGAGTTATTACTCACGAGTTGACGCGGATTAAGATCGCTGCCCGCGAAGAGATACTTATAATGACCTTGGTTCCTTGATGCAATTCTGAACGGTACTTAAAGGAATTCCATTACCGCGACGTCGAAGAGAAGAACCGGTTCCCAGAGCCGCGCGAACCGTTTAAATCCCTTCGAAATAATGTTAGTCGGCTATCGCTACAGTCCTACATATGCTGAATTTCACGTGCGACTGGCTTTCTGTATCCCGAATTACCATGCAGCCATTTATTTCGCCCGTGAAAGGAAACTACGCGTATACACAAACGGAACTCTTTCCTTTCTCCGTGACGACTGTCTCGATAATTTAATACAGTATATATAATAATACAGTAATCAAAAGTAGAAATTAGATACGAAACAAGGTATACGTAATAACACACGGAGTGCAAGATACGAAGGAATACTAAATCAAATGGAATCGTGTATGTATTATTAATTGTGTACAATAGATCTCTTCTTCTCAATCATGAGTCAATCAATTTTATTAAAACTTAATAAATAATTTAATATAACGGAATGTGTACATACATACACAACACATATATGTATATGCACGTAATATAATAAAACATGTATGACATAAACTAAATTTAAAGGCAATTTTATTACAAAAAATCTTTATTGTAATAATAAAAATTCTGTTTTATCCGATATAGAAATGAGGATATTATTGAAGCGATTTGGTTTAAAAATAAAAACGGAAAGAACAAAATTATAGATCAAAATTTTACAAGGTTAATGACAAGGCCAAGTTATGCAGTTCCTGTAGAAAGACTGACTGTGCAATCACGACAGCTCGCGAAAGTTTCGCGCATGTTGCACATAATGTTTTTATTCCGCCGTTGCTGATGCAAGGTCCCTATAAAAACTGTAGGAATCTGTGTCTTGGAACAATCATAAATGCTTCTCACGACGATCTCGAATCTTTTTCCTTTTGTAAATTTATGGAGTTAAAACGTATCCGCAATTTTATAGATTCAAATTTTATAATCGCACGTAAAACAAAAAAAGTTAAACTTTAAAATTGTTGAAGTGTATTATCTAAATAATTTAGCTTTATCATTCCTCCAATTTAGATATCACTCCTCTTTGTATATTATATTTAAATTTATTTAATTACTAAATTATCTAAAAACTTTACGTAAACTTAAATTTCTAACAAAAATTTCAAAATCAAGAAATGCCTCTTTTATGTAAAAAAAAAATTAATTTTTCGCTACGAAATCTTTCTGATATTCGTAATGTATCATTACTGTATTTCGGTAACTTAAGCGCTTAAGCAATCCTATAAATAGGAGAAAAGAATTTCCCGCCTAAAAATATTCTAGGAACAGGAATAACTTTCACGTGCGCTACAAATTCACCTGTGCTCTTTAGGCCAAACGGACGTGTAATTTGTTGCACGCGCGTTGACGCAAGAACGAAATCGCGATTAAGAGGGGACATTCTGGGACTTAGCAAATGCGTATCGGATGCCTTCGAAATAGACACGGCGCTTATCGAACGGGTCACGCAGACATTTAATTATACCTATGCTATGAGAACATGTGATGCAACACTTGTCGCTTCTTTCCTGGAGGAGAATCCCCGTTACCTGCATACGTATTCAGGCAAGACGTGTGCGGCTTTTTGGCACGCTTTCCTCTAAAATCGTTCTAGAACGAGACACGGAAATCGAATAACGGAATTCGGGATGTCTCGCTTACGTTCAAGTTTACACTTAATTTATGTAATAAATCAGTTAATTCTTAAGGAAATATATTCCTGTTTTTTTTTGGAGGAGAAAAAAATAATTAATGGAAAAGTATTGCATATAAATCGAAATGCGTATAAATTAAATATGAATAAAACAGTATTTGTACACACACACATACACACATAAGTAATAAAAACTACAAAATTAAGCGTATTCGCATTAAAATATGTCATACTGTTTTGCATTTGTGTCAGCCGCGTTACGCAAAGCAGGCAGGAAACATCCTATTTTGTACGGAATGGAAAACGAGTACAAGAGGATGACTATTAATTGTATCGAGAGTACAATATCGCAATTCGCAATTGTACACTGACTTCCTCGAATCCATTACACAATTACACAATCTATTTGTGGACCTTTTGCACAAATCCTCGTAATAAGATGGCATTCAAAACGTACAATAAGCGAGATTTAGAAAAGAAGTTAATACAAGTTCTTTTATGCAGATACAAATATCGCCTTTAAAATTTCTCCAAAGAATGAGTTCGTTTTTGTTGTGATAAATTTATTATTCAGAAAATAATAAATAAATAATCAAATCTCAGATTAATTATAAATTATAAATTTAATAATTAATTTATAAATTAATAAATTATAAATTAATTAATAAATTATATAAAAATATATGTATATATATTTATAAAATGTATTTAAATTTAAAATATTATTTATGTACATATAGATTATTTATGAAAGAATTAATGTATTTCTGAAAGAATTTCGATCGCCCGCGTATATAATTATGACAATCGCCCACAATATAGAAGAATCTCAATTGTCTGCCTCCCACGCATTCCATTATCATAACAGGTATGTTAACGTCATGAAAGACTGAAAGCACCCGTCGCATCGTCTACATATTCATAACTTTATACTGAATAGAGAGTAATTACATCTCGCAATCATGTCTTTACCATGACATGACCACTTAAAAATCTGTTATTACTTTTTTGTTTAACTATATATTTAAAAATCATATGAGACTATATATATGTAAAAATATTCTCAAAAGCATTATAAAAAACTTTTTTAAACATATATTTTTCTCAGCAAAATGATCGCATTTACAAATTATTGGATACAAATTCTCTCTCTCTCTCTCTCTCTCTTTCTCTTCTGATATATTATATAAACTGTTTTATATTAAAAAAAAAATATATATATAGAAATAAATTGTTATTAAAAGTGATACCATTGAAGAGAGTTATATATTCTTTCGAAATAAATCAAATCAACATAACAGAATCGTGATGCATGCGATCACGACGGATAGATGCGGAATTTACGTAATCTCATGAAAATTAGCGGAAGTGGAAGTTCGTCGCAGGTGGAGCAGTTAGAATTTTCTGGTCAAAAGAGAAAGAGCGCGTGCGCATCTCTCATTTGATTCCGTATTATCGCGAAAATTAATTAAAAACGCCGTCAAACGCGCCGCTGTCCTCCAGAAAAGCGACTTCCTGCGATTAACAGCTTAATGGCTCGCATCCGAGAGCCACGTATTGTTGCAAAGGATGGCCGCACAGGTGCACTCATACCGATAATCGCCTAAGCAAACAACAGACAGATGTTCCCTATAAGCACCTGTAATGCCTAGAATTATAAGATAGCGTTAACATAGGAGTTTTTGAATTTGCTGCAAACTTCGCGCGAACAGCATCGCAGAAGTTACTAAAACATTCAAGACTCGAGAAACAAAGAAAAAAATAATAAATCAAATAATAAAACTAGAAAAACGTTATCTAAATCTATTTTATAATTTATGATATTATTTCATTTTTTCCAAATGATAAATAACTATTAAATTGTATATGAATGCTTCAAGTGCAAATATAGGAATTATACTTGATTATTCAAGTGTTGCGAAATGTTAATTTATTCGAAAAAACCGAGCCGCAACTTTTCACGAGCTCTCCGCTGGTTTAAATGACTCATTCCCTACCACGTGGCACGATAAGATACGTATAACTACCGCAAATTCGTTCCATTCGAGCAATCCTTTTCCTCCTTGAACAGCAGCTTCGCCTGTTATTGTACTGCGTATCAAGACGGAGATATTCGCATGAAATTGAGAGTTATTATTCAAGTTATTTTCCTTTTCGAAGAGATGCACGTATTATCTCGATGTATTCATAAAATTCCGAGAAATTCATGTTCGTCTATATTTTTCGAGAAAATTATTTACAAAAAAATGATCGACAGCTTACATTTAAATATTTTTAATCTGATCATATATTTTAATTGAATAAAATGCGCGTGTAAAATTGAAAGAGCGAAAATTAGCATCTATCATATCGTGACCCTGAGAACGAGAACTCATAATCGACATGTAAAGATTATAAAACAAATGTACACCAAATTTATGAGAGCGTCGGATAAGATTAAGCACGGATTGATCGTTAAACGAACGAGTTTACGCATTCGAATCTTCGCATTTTCATGACTGGCCGGAGTTAAACGGAATCGTTACGAAAAATACGAGAGAAAGCATCATGCAAGCATTATTGTCGGGACGAGATTGTAACAATCGCGGAACCT